TATTATTATTATTAATATGTATTTAAACTGGAGTTCTACTTTAACAAGTGTTGTGATGCATCACAGACTGCGAGTTCAAATTCCATCTAACTTGGTTGGGCAAAAACTACATACTGCCAGCAGGCACATTTGACAGCAATGCTCGTTTGGATACATATGAATATAACAAATATCTACATTCATTTTCTTTACAGGAGTATTCCAGTAGTTGTAAATAACATCTGTACATATGCAAGCAACCATATCCATACCTATACAGGAGGTAAGATATTTAAAGCCCAATTGAACTTTCAGTTTAAATGAGCCAAATACATTCCAGATGCAACAAAACAAAGCATGTTCAAAAAGTCTTGCAGTGAATTCCTTGGGAAACCAACCAAGTAGAAAGCATGTATGTCCCATGTCAGAATGCTGCAGAGAAGGACCCTTACACTCTGTGTGGAAGCGGTGGTCTCTCTGCAGAGGTTTGGCCCACCCCCTGATGAATCAGATCTATAGCCCTACAATTATCAAAGCTCATGCTTCCTGCTGATTGGAGAGCTCTGGCTGACTCAGCAGGGGGCCTTTCAAACTTCTGCAGAGAAACTATTGCTTCCACGCAAAGAGCAAGGGTCCTTCTCTGCAGCATACTTCCTAACTAAAAGGTAACCTAATGATATAACATCCAACACCAAGAATGATTGTTGCTTAAACACACATGCTTTGCAAATACTAGTGAGTGGCTTTGACAATTCACCCCTGATAAAGCATCCTTACAATCTGGAGCATTATTAAATCCTCAACCAGCTCAGATGCATTATCATCTCTTAAATCACATCTCAGGGCTTTGTTCAGTGAATTTGAGCATACATGCAGGCACCTCTAGGTGCACATTAACATAGTATATTGTTTATTTATATATTTTGAATCATGACGCTTTGCTACAGTGCAACAAAGGACCTCTCCTCTAGTGCCCCATTCACAATGAGCGACATGAAAATTGGGCGATTTTCCGCACGATTTTATATGTGCGATAATGCGCGACTTGTCGCGCAACTTTTTCCTATTGGGCTGTATGCAATCAGGAGCAAAATCACTCGCAATCCGCAGAAAAAAGGGTCATGTAGGAGCGACAAGCTACAGCGACGAGCTACAAGCGATATTAAGCGATATTGAGCAGCGAGATGTGAACAGCTCCATTGAAATGGTTGGAGCAGCTAAATAGTGCGATATCGCGTGGAAATATGAGTGATATCGCTGCAAAAATCGCTCAGTGTGAATGGGGCCTAAGCGATTTATCGCGCGGTAATTCTTGCGGTATCGCGGCAATTTACCGCGCGATATCGCTCTCCAATGCTTCTCAATGGGGCAAAGGGTCCTGCTGTCTCGGGTCGTGCGTCGCTACAGCAGGACCCTTTTTGGAGTGGATTTAGCCGCAATTCAAGCTTGCTCAATGCAAGCATTTGCGCAAAATGCAAATCGTGCGACAAACGCGCGATTTGCGAATCGCGCAGTGTGAATGGGGCCTTAGGCTGCAAGAGGGAGACAAAGCTCTGAGTTGAAGAAAACTTGAAGCCTTTTTGCCGAGTCTAGCAAGGTTCAGGGGCTCCTCAGCTGCACTGAAAATGATCTGGATACCATTAAAAAGGTCCACACCTTGTCTGCACTAAACAGTTCACTTTAAAATGTCCGCAAAGCAGAAGAGAAGGAAATTGTACTGCAGAAATATGGGGTATATTTTAAAAAAGCAGTGAAACTGCTATTCACCAAACATTCACGGCAGGTGATTAACGACCAAAAAAAAGAAATACAAAACAATGAACACTTACCTTCACATTATCAGATTTCAGGTCTGACTCCGTGTACAGTCCCTTCAGAAAGCTGGTGGTCCTGATAACCTGAGACAACAGAGTGGCCATAATTGTCAAGATTATGAGCAATGATGGAAAGTAACACAAAGCAATTATAATTCTCTTTTCATTATTATCACTGCAAAGCCAGTTTTGGATGCTCCAAAAGGATATGTTTTGCTACCTACTCTTCCCTGAATTTTAAAAAACTGCTGAAGGTTTACTCCCAACCAGTTGTTGTGGGTCCCTGCCTGTCATTTCTTTTTACCTGATGGTTAATGAGGGTTAACAAATGTGTGCCAAATCCATAGAGTGGCCATGACCATACTTGTACGTCTGGGTGTCATACATTGGGTTTGGTAAGAGTAAACAGTGACATTATCCATACCAACCATTCAGCACTGAGGAGTAAACAGACTGTTGGCTAAAGAAAAAAGTTCTGCACTTTAAGGGAAACCAGCCAGGAGAAAAATGACATTAGGCAGCAACTGCTGAACTCCTGAAAATGCTCCCTGTCTCCCTCCTTGTCATGGGGTTCCTCTCGATTCAATCATTTTTTAAGTAACCGCTTTATTTTTTGGAGCGTTGTGCTGTGATGGCAGCCCATGCTAGATAAATGGGCTTACTTACACAATGTATGTTAATGTGTGAAATACAGAAATGCAACTACAGAAGTGTGAAGGGACCTTATCTGTATTTTGTATATATAAGCCAACTTTTTCTGTGTTTGTGAAATACAGATTAGCACTGTTATAAAATACAAGACAAAGGTATCTTGAACATGGCATAATATAGAATGATGGGTAGAGATGTCATGAAAAAGAAAAGGAAGCTATAAAAAAAAAAGAGGCAGCAGGAGCAGACAGTATCTTGCTTGTCCGCATTTTAACAGGAGGACCTCATTTACACGTACCCCCAATAAAATCGATTTTTATTTTCCGTAGTCCGTCCATACACTGTCTGAATTTTCTGAACAATCTACCATGTTCCAATGGAAAGCAGTTATAGGCAGATATTAAAGACCCACATGTATGCTAGTATATAATTGTGAGAAAAAAATAGACAATGTCTCAAGGAGTCTTTAAAGGAGAACTATGGGGTCAGTGTTTTTCCCCAGTTCTCCTTAGGGTAACGGGAGGACACAAACTAGTGTCCTCCCGTTACCCTAAGCTCAGTATACCGCGAGCTACAGCTCGCTAGATACTGAGGCGCCGCAGCCGGAGCGGATCCCGACGTAGAGGACGGGATCCACCCAGCTGCGTGACAGCTGGCTCTGCCTATCTAGAGGCAGAGCCAGCTGTACCCGCCCCCTCCCCCGTCCGTTCCGCCCGTCAGCACTGGCAGATCGGAGCGGGGAGGGGGGAATCCAGCCCTCCCCCTGTCACGGCAGAGAGCCGTGACAGGATCGAGAGGTGAGCGAACCTGGTATGTGTTCGCTCACCTCCCGATCTACTGAGCCGACGTGTGACAGTCTCATTGTCACAGGTCGGCTAGAACTATGAGGTGAGTGGAAATCACTCATCTCATAGTTCTCCTTAAAGGACAGCTCTGGAGGGATTTCCGGAAAAAAAAGCTTAAATTTATTTTTAAATAGAATCTATACCACTTTATATTAGTGTCCTCTGATCCTCCGTACAGCCATACCTCAAAACTGGACAGGAAGGGGCTGCACTGTAAAGCTCCTCTGTACTGTGTACCCAGATAGCAAGGATAACTTGCCACAAACTGTGGCAGGGTTCAATTGTAATTGTGCAACAAAATTTGTGAAGCTTGGAAAGTCTAGCAACAGTTTAGCAAGTCATTTTCAAACTTGCAACACAGAGCGCTTACTGATAGTAGGAGAGAGTAAAGTGACGACCTCATCAGTGTGCTGCTGTCCCTTCATTATCCAACCACAGCCTGAAATAGGTTCTTGCATTAACTGCATAACAGAAAAGTGAGGTCAGGTCCCCAGTAGGGGAGAGAAACATTTAGGAATGGTTTAAAGTGACCTTGTCACTAGTCTGATGATTTTAAAGTATAACCACCCTGCTAGAGAAGATTACTAATACTCATCCGTCCGGCATAGCTATGGCCGCCACTGTTACCCGCCTCTTCTGGAAGCATCAGATGCTAAGTCCATAGCTGTGTGTGGTGGTTTCATCAACCAGTCATCATGTCACTACTGACACCCCATGACTGCAGCCACTACATCACTACTAGACAGTAGTCACAGACACAGTCACTTTAACTAAATTACAAATCTTATTACAGGTAAAACAATTCACACATCTATTTCTATGTCTAGATGCTTATAGTTCTGTGTGAAGTGTTTGAATTTTGTTCCTGTGTAATAAACCAAACCTTTATTACAAGCAGATCAGATGTCAGAATGTCACAGAGAGTAACAGCACCGGAATAAGAGACAACAGGAAGAGAGGGCTAGATCCCTCCAAAGTGAGAATAAAGCCCCCTTAGTTGTCACCAGAATATATGGTCCCATTAGAAGATTTCTCTCTATTCCTGCAATAGTGATAACTGAACATTTTTGGATACTACTTCACCTACAGTCCAGGTGACAGTGGTCACAGGACAAATACAGAGGTTGACTGTCCCTAATAAGGAGAGAGACATCCAAGTCCTGGAAGTAAAAGAAAGGTTTGGGGTGCTGGATATGTTGAAGCAGAAGGTGTTATCAGTCAGATCGAGGGAATGATTCTCCTTCAGCGACTCTCCCTGGAGTGGTGGCTGAAGGTTTTGCTATTTGATGAATACAGACTGGAAATGCAAGGAGGAAAGCACCAATAGCAGAACATATAATGTCCAGATTTTATTCTATTCAAAGTGTACCGAGCCGAAAAAGCTCGCCATACACCAGAAGAATTTTGTGCGGAAAAAATGTTTTGGGAAAGTTCATTCAATTTTCTAATAGTTAATGAGATCAAATTGTCAATTGTTTTCAACCACATAATCAAAGGAGCAGTATGGAAAATGTTTCTCAAACAAAATTCTAACGGTGAATGTGATTTCTGTTCAGGAAATTCCATTCAATCCAAAATCAAATGTTAAAATGAAACAAAATTCAAAATCACATTTATCAAGTCTCTGATGATGTCATCAAATGTTCTGATGAGATTTATGCATACGTGTATGAACACTCATATGCAAATCTGCCAGAGTGTATCCAGCTTCAGGCCCCCTTCAGGTGGGTGGCCTGATCAGGTCCGCTTGTCAGTTTTTCCATACGGATCTGATGGTAAGTCCAGTGTTAGTGTATGGGCAGCTGAATAACCATTGCCTCCGATCCGTCACTACAGAACTCTTGCCTCCGATCCGTCACCACAGGTCCGGAAAACAAAAACCAGAGTTCTGTAGTGACGGATCGGAATCAATTGGATGTAAATGAACAAGTGTCCACTTATATCTGACCTAACATGGGTTTGTATAGCTCAGTTTTTTCCTCCACTGCAAGATGGAGGAAAAAAACTAAACGGATATGGATGTCAAGAGCGTGAAATCTGTTCTATTCTGAACCAATTAGGGGACAGAGGCAACCCCAGGCCTGTGTCACCCGCTGTTATGTCACTATGCACACACGTAATGACGTCAGGCGCACTTAACTGCCGGGGGTCATCTTGGTGATGGATGATGCATGAGAGAGGAGGGATGAGGTAAGCCGTCGGGTCACTCCTCTCTCATGCACGAGTGCCCGACTTTTCAGAGGGGGTGACACCAAAATGACTGTCATTTTGGTGTCCCCCCATGTTATGGTGTCACCCAGTGCAGGCCACACCACCTGCGTGACTGCACTGGCATGGCCATGCACGGATCCCTTGCTGATAAGAAGGCGCCCATGTGAGGCTCCATTCACACTGGAGCGGCTGTCCACGCATATTCGGCTGTACGAATACGCACGGAGCCGCTCCAGACAGAGAAAACAATGCACTTTATTATGCATTGTTCAGACTATTGTGGGGGCGCCAACATAGTACAAACGGCGGATTCCGCATGTTCACAGCTATTTAATAGCCACAAATGACAGCGTCCCTGAGGATTCAAAAAATGTCACTTTTTCGTCCCGCACAAAACACAAACGCTATATGTGACTGGAGCCTGAAAGGGGCCTAAGCCTAAAGTCAAATAGAGAGCCCAACCGCACACCTGACTGAGAAGCCCCCCCATATATTGTGGAGGGGGGTGCCGAATTGGCCTCGGATGGTGCCACCAAATACCTTCAAAATAGAACAAATGTTCAGCAGCACTCCAAGTTTTCTTCAAAAGGAAATCCTTTTAATGATTCTAGCAGGTCATATCACCATGCGTGGCAACGTTTCGGAACCTGTCCGGTCCCTTCATCAGGCAAACAAAAGTGACGTCACTGGTGTGGAGTGCTGGTGACCATTCGTTTTGTTTTGTAGGCCTAAAGTCAGGTATACATGGGTCTATTTTTTTTTGTTCAACCCGCAGGCTGAATGAAAAAGAATGGAACATATTCCTCCAGCAACACTTACAAGCATTGATGGACGAATCCCCTGATGTTTGCATTATACAGCCGGTTGGCTGCAAGCTCCGTTCGGCCTAGAATTTTCCAGCCAGCTGATTGAGGGGTGCCGGGTGGAAGGGCGCTGACAGCAGCACCCACGCAGCAAATTTTGGCTGGTGAACCAAAGAACTTTATACTGTGTGAACCCTACTAAACCGGTATCTGTAATGCCCGCCAGACTACTTCCCCCCGGGGAACCCCCAGATTCTATCAGTCCAGTACACGCTTTGTAGAACAGTACCAAGGCCCAATGATGGCAGATCCCTTAAATCCCTGACACACATTGCCTTGTACTGATATGAGAGTCAGAGAGAATGACGTGGACTTGATGGGTTCTGTTGTTTTAATAACACCCTGCCAGGGGCTCTCCCCTTCTCAGTACTCTATAAAGGACAAAGTCCAGGCTTTGGACACTCATTAAGAAGAGGATTATTATTATGTAATACACCATGGCCTCCCATGTCTCTTACAGCTCCCTTATTGAGGGAATATTCTCATATGTACAGGTCTATGGCCAGTGTGAGTCCAGGCAATCTATAGCTCGCCCTCTGTGGTGTCCCAGCACACCAATGAACCGGTCTTCTGACCATTCCTTCACTGCTGGTTCTATTGTAAAGTTCTGGGGAAGCTACAGGTGGCTGGCTCCTCACCGGTGCCCGGTGTGACGGTAGGTATCCGGCTCTCACCTCGGTTAGAATGTCGTGCAGGTACCGGAACGGCGGCTTGGCCAGCAGTTTATCCGTAAGCGGCGGCTTCCTAATCACCTTCCCGAGAGTGTCCTGTGTGCGCCGGATAACCGCGGCCTCCATCCCGGAGACCGGGCCTGTGAACCAGCAGAGCAACGGGGGAGCAGCTTCCCTACCCCCAGGCTTGGCTCACCCGCTCCCCGTTTACACCAGTCTCCAAGGCTCCGTTACTGTGTTCTCAGCACCGGCCAGTTCTTCCCTTCCCACAATCCCCTTCGAACTCGATTGTGCGCATGCACCGCCTCCGCCGTTACCAAGCGTCCGCCACCATGGCAACGGACGGTAACATAAAGAGAGGTGGGGCCTAGTTCTATATCCTAGATAGGTGGGTGACGTCATTGCGTTACAGCCAGCATGTTCTGATTGTGGTCTACCGCTTAGCAATTCTGTATCTGGTTACCTTAGGGGGAATTTATCAAAATTGCAGCAGACAGAAACTGTACAGCTAAGCTTGGGAAGTGAAGAATCCTGATTGGTTGCTGGGGCAACTGCTCCAGATTCTATCTGCTCCAGTTTTGATACATTCCCCCCATTCTTCTTTATTGCACTCCAGCAGAGGCTAATTAAAAAGAATCCAACATCAATATGTGCTACATTACCCCCTGAAGCAGGGTTCCCACCTAGACGACAGCTTTTTTGCATGTTTCTGGTGCACGTTTTTTGTGCCTTTGTATGCGTGGGTTATGCGCATATATCAAGTCGTGTGTTTTTGTGAGCAGATTCTAGCTCACTGATGTTAATGGGCAGATGTACGTTAAACATGCGCAATAACACAGCGAACAAACGTTTTCAAGCTTTTCTATTGAGTCTATGGGGCCAAAACGAGCTGTAATATGCCAAAAAAAAAAAAGCTCATGAACGTTTTCCAGCGACAGGCGTTTTGCTTATTGGGACAAGATGCTCACATGTAAACAGGGCCAT